CCCAAGGTTGACTCAGCCTTCCATCCTTCCAAGGTCAGTTAAATGAGGACCCAGATTTTGGGGGGCAATATGCTGACTCTGTAAACTGTAAAGGTCTGTAAAGCACTGTGAATCGGTATATAAGTCTAAGTCAGGGTCCTCAAACTTTTTAAATGGGGCCAATTCATGGTCCCTCAGATTAGTGGAGGGCCAGGCAGCCTGGGTGGGCATGGCTAGCTGGACATGTGATTGGGTGGGTGTGGCCAAGTTAGCAGTCCATTAAACAATACACACAAATTAAACTTTAAATTGTTATGCTACTGGGGATGGAAAGCAGATTAGTGATGGAATGTGGCTACCTTGGGGTCTGTGTGAGGGATGTCTATTTGTGTGTGTGCATGTTTTCTCTCTCCCCCTCCCTCTCTCTCTGGAGGCTGAGAAGGCCAAAAATGGGCCTGTTTTTAGCCTCCCTGGCCTCCAGTACCAGTGTACCTCCCAAAAATGGGCCCAATTTTGGCTTCCTGGGGCTTCCACACATCCAGTTTTTGGCCACATCAGCTTCCAGTACTACTCTGCTGCCCCAAAATGCCACTCCTTTTGGCCTCCTGAGGCCTCCATGTGTCCTGTTTTTGGCCTCACTGGCCTCCAGAAGGGGCCAGTGGGTAGGTGCAGAGATGTGGGTGGGGCAGCCTCATGGTCCCGCATTGGCCAGATTAATGGCTTCGATGGGCAGTATCTGGCCCGCAGGCCGTAGTTTGAGGGCCCCTGGTCAAAGTGCGATTGCTACTGTATTGATATTTATTATGTAATAAAATCCTTCACATTTGGGTGGATTGATATTTTGACTAGGATACATTATTTGGAATTAATATCTCAAAACATAATTTCTAACAAATGCTGTGTGGATACGTTCATAAGCAAAGGTTCTACAATAAAATTTTCTTGATGATTTTTTCATATATCTCATATCTGAAGTATATTAGTATAGTCATCAAAGACTTTTTGTTCAGACCTTTTTCTACTGGGACCTGAACTAAACACATGACGTCTGAAGATGCCAAGCTTATATTACAATATGATTTTCATTGTTTGGTTGCTAACAGAATAATTGCAGAATATATTATCCAGGGACTTGCTTCACAAAGTGATAATCCTTAACAATCAATCTTTTTATTATAATTTGGCTCTGCTAAGTGAAATATCAGATTGAATATAGCCAGGAGAATATGTTGCCAAGGAAGAATTATTTATTCAAAAGAATATTTTTCCATAGTATATGCTTATGTATCTGATCCCCTCTTCCTATAAGAACATAATTCCTACTGCAAGTTTTCATAAGCTCAGAAATATTTCCTAAAGGTTTTCCACAATAGGGAAATAATGTGTCTTTTCATTCTGTGCAATATTATTGTCACTTCCTGATCCTGCAAATGAAATACCTAACACTGACATGCAAAAACAAAATATGAAGTTAAATTTACAATTAAAACTGTCATTGTACTTAAAGCAACTGAAATCAAGTTTTACAAGCTGAAGTCAAAATGTCTTGAAGAAAAATACAATGTTACTGAATCATCTATCACTGAACTTACTGAATAATAGTTAGGAAACTAATTTAAGAAGTTAAACTAAGCTTGATTAACCATATTTTCCAAAATATACAAGCAAGGAGGTACCAGAGTATATGTTCATAGATATACTACCAACTCAAGATGGGCAAAATGGTTAATTTTATTCTGTCCAATGCTAACCGGAAACAATGAACTTCAACATATTTTAAAGAAATTCATGAAACTACAGGAAATGGTGGAAGAAAGAAATCAGTAGGTGGCACTCTTCCCTCCAGATCAATATTTTTCATCACATCGCCAAGAGACCCAGTATAGTTGGAAGCAGGCTTATTCCACCACCCTCCCCAAGCTTTTAAACATATGGGGTCAATAAAATTTCCATGGATTTTTTGTTTCTCAAGTGTAGAGCCCTTGAGGTCCTGGACAAATTCCAATCTAGTTAATTAATTTCTTCCTGAAATAAAACTATACCTGGCATTATAGAGTCTTTTGACTCCTAAAAGGAGTTAGTGCAATATTTCACAGTATTTAATTTAAATGATTGAAAAAAATATAATTATCCCATATTTTCTAGACGCGTTTATTCTTCCTATTTCATCCCCTAAAATAAGACATCTGATTGTGTCATGCTTGGAAGTTTGAAACCACTGAAAATGCAATGTTTCAAGTTAAACATCATGAATATAAATGTATATTTCTTATGAGAATGCCATAAGACGCCAAAAGGTGACCTTAAATTGTGTATTATTCTAGCCAATGTGTAAATCAGCAAAACAATATTCTTTTCCTCAGAAAGTTCTGACATAATTTGATATTAATCAAAAGACAGGCTGCAGTTACACTGAAGCAAAAAGGCTTCAGAAGGATAATTATGCCGTGAAATTTTTTAATGTTTATCCATTTAAGCAGTTCATATTGATTTATATAGACTCAGAGTACCACAGATTGCATTAGCTGTAGTTTTGTGTTTGCTTTGCCAATGGTTTGGATTCAGCAGGAATCGATATTAAAGGTGTTTTATTTATGTTTCAGCACTTTATTAAGAATATGGCATCATTCATTCACAGTTCTTATTCCATGACAAGTATAATCCCCAACACCTCATTACAGGAAACACTTTCAGGATTGCATATATCTTCTTGTTTAACTTGTGCATTTTTATAGGATGCAGTTGAAAGGTAGGAAATTTAAGGCTGTTCACTAATAAGAAAATAAATAAATAAAATGTTTTAAAAATTCAAAGATGAAATAGGGTAAGGTTTAGAGTTGCTCTTTCTTAGAAAGATGATTGCTAAAACACAAGATCATCTTTTCCTTTCTTCCTTTTCTACTTTTTTTTTGTTTTACTTTGCTTTGTTAGACAAAGACAATTCATTTGAGAAGGCCAATCCTTGAAATCTACTAGATGTTACATAGATTGAAAAGGGATTTTCTTACTACAGTATATGATTAGGAACTATGTTTCAGACCATATAAAAGCTTATGACTGTAAATCTGTAAAAAATTTCCCCCAATAATGGCACAACTTTAGGATGTCATTTACCAATTCATATTAAAAGAGGGTTTAATAAATGTTTTATATTTTTATTTTATTACCCCACACATGTTCTAGATTATTGGCCAGGAGGATTCATCACTATTTAGATCGGTGGTCACCAACCAATGGGTCAGGGACCACTGGTCCACAAGAAAATTTTGGTAGACAGCAGAGAAATGTCACCCCCAAAGCAATTAATCCAGGCTGCACGGGAACACAAGGCTGCGCCACCCACATGGCCCATGAGAACACAAGGCTTGCATCACTTGCATTGTGTACAACATGAGGTTGTGAGGGGAAGAGGGAAAGGGTGGAGGGGGGGGAACTTGCCCCATTCCCCCCACGTGTCTGGTCTGGCCACTGGGCTGCTTCTTTCCGCCTTTCTTCTTCTGCTTTTGGCTGCATGCAAGGAAAACAGCAGAAGCCTTTCTTTCTCCCCCCCTAAACTCCACCAGAAATGAGTCTTTGGGACCCTGCAATGCATCCTGCTCTAAGAGGCTACACTGGCAAAGACTCATTTCTGGTGGAGATTGGGGGAGAGAAAGAAAGACTTCTGCTGCTTTCCTTGCATGAAGCCAAGTCTCTCTTTCCCACCCCGAGATTGGAGCTGGAGATAGTATCCTGTGATCCCAAATAAAGAACATTCGATCGGTAGGAAAACAGTGAGGGATTTTCCTGCAGACTTTTGCGGGGATCTTTTGGGGACTTTTTTCTGAGGATCTCTGGTCTGTGGGATTTAAAATTATGAGTTTAGTGGTCCCTGAAGTCCAAAAGGTTGGTGACCCCTGATTTAGATCAGGGGTGTCAAATTCCTGGCCCACAGGCTGGAGGCATCACGTGCTGGCCCCACCCCCATCCACTTTGGCAAAGGGGAAAAAAGTCCCGGTGTGTCATGTGAAGATGCTGTGATGACGTGAGTTTGACACCCCTGATTTAGATGTTATGTGTAGAGCTAGAAAATTGTGATAACCATATTTATCTACTAGGTCCATTAACTCTAAAACTTTACACTGCATTTATACAATGGTGAATCTGAAATGCAAAATACAATAGTTTCAATAAAATAGGAGTGATCCATGGCTAGCTTATGTACATAGTTTAGAATATGTGGTTCTTAAAAGTATGTTTTTTTGTAAATAAACATTCAATCTATGAAGCACATGCATCTTAATTTATGTTTGATGGTCCAGTATTAAACTTGATGGACGGATGTGGAACTTGTAGAAAAGTGTGCATCTTCAGTCCATGAAGGTTTTTGTGTAAGGTATTCCTGCTGATTCCATGAGATGGTTGGCTCGTTCCATCCATCCAACAATCCATCCATATTGCCTGCATTTATTGTCTCTGCCTGCCTGCCTGCCTGCCTGCCTGCCTTCCTATCTATCTATCTATCTATCTATCTATCTATCTATCTATCTATCTATCTATCTATCATCTATCTATCTCTATATTTATCTATCTATCTATCATCTATCTGTCATCTATCTATCTATCTATCTATCTATCTATCTATCTATCATGTACCTATTCATTCAGTTCTTGAGGGCTGCTCTAAATGGGTTGTAAAATAGTTGCATATTGTTAGTTATCATGGAACAAACTTTATTTTTCAGCTAGAAACTCAAAAGCGTTGCTAAACATGGTCAATCAATATGCTCCTGAGATTAGACAGAGATAATTCTGTCTAGATCATGACAGAGATAATTCTGGAAGTCGATTTCTCTGTGGATCCATAACAAGTTATTAACCACAAAAATGTCACCACTTGTTCTATAATTCTTGATATCAGCTATCACATATTTTATATAATATACTTTGTTTAGGGAGAAATATTGGTGTCATAGTAGAGGTATTGTATAATGTTGTCTCTGTGTTCTAGAATTTAGTCAGTTTATTTCCTTTATTTCCTTCAGACGCAGAATAGAATGAAACTGATGGCAGACAACTATGATGATGACCATCATCACTATCACCATCATCACCACCATCACCACCACAGATCTCCTGGAAGGACACACTCCAATCACAGACCCTCCCCAGAACAGGTAAGACACCACTCTACTTGCTTTAACTTCATACTATTACCTGGGCAGTTTTCAAACTAAAATAAAAATTTAAAGAGAGAAAAAAATAAAAGTTATAACAATAGCAATAACAGCCCTCTCTAAGTGGTTTACAGAGTCAGCATATTGCACCCAACAATCTTGGTCCTCATTTTACCCACCTCGGAAGGATGGAAGGCTGAGTCAACCTTGAGCCTAGTGAGATTTGAACTGTCAAATTTTAGGCAGCTGATAGCCAGCAGCCAGCAGAAGCAGCCTGCAGTATTGCACTCTAACCACTGTGCCACCGTGGCTTTTTTATTTATTTATTTTATTTTATTTGTCAATCGCTTACAAGATAATAGGCATAAGTATAAACATGAGTAAGAATACAGGAAATAGGTACAAATAAATGGGGACAATAGGACAGGGATGGGAGGCACAATGATGCATTTATGCACTCCCCTTACAGACCTCTTAGTTATCTGCTCTTTGAACTGAAATAAATAGCTTTGTTATTTATTTCCATCACTCAGAGGAGCCAAAATTTTTCCTTTCTCTTTCCACCTTTGATTCCCCTTCTTCCTTTTATTAAGGTTTTCTTCCCTCTCCCTTTCCTAGCACTTCTAAAGGATCTCAATGTCACTATTAAAAAATATTTTTGAATAATTGCTTTTTGAGGGAGTAGAGAGGTTTGGTTGTTTAGATAACTGATCTACTCAGATATAATCTATTATGGTTTTGTTTCATGAAACTCAGCTTGCTAAAAAAAATATAACTGAGTTGAATGTGTTGAATTCAACTTTGAATCACTATTAACAAAAGGTTTATCTCTTCAAGTTGCTATATGTCCTTTAATTTTAAATTAACAAAACCATTATTTATTATTTATATTTAAAAAAACTTCAAATATTAAAGATTTCTAGGATAGGTTTTTATATTATCCATAAAATGTCTAGCTTTTTCACAAATAGATAAAGAAAAAAATAGTGAGAAGCTGAGTTTAAGGGAAGAATCCAAATTTTGCAAAAAGAGATAAAAAAGACTTATCATATCCATCCAATCTGGTCACTCACATTCATGTTGGAAGCACCAAGGGACTTCTGGGTTGAATGGATTAGTCAGTGACATCTCCGTTGTCGTGGGGGCATCTGTTTGGGAGCTCCTTTCATTAACGTGCCCACTAAAATGGTACCTATCCAACTTCCCAAGCTTGCATGCTTTCAAACTGCTAGGTTGGAGGGACCTGGAACAAATTATAGGAACTCGCTCCATCATACAATATCACCCCGGTCTCAAACTTGGGCTTGCTGATCATCAACCCTAACCAAGTGAGCCACTGTGCTCCTTACAATCTGGTGAGCGAGAAACTTTATTTCTTACTTTATTTGTTTGATATATATACCTTCATTTTCTCCTAAGCAATTAAGGCAGTATACAGAATACTCTCTTCTCCAACTGTATGGGGTTAAGTTAAGTGAAGAAAGAGTGGTTTTAAGAATGGCTGAGGATTTGCTTAAACCTGAGTCTCCCAGGTCCTATCCAGCACCTTAACCACTACATCATGTTGGTTCCTTATTTTATTTTCTGTTCAAAAGAAGAAAGAACCAAGTGCTGAACAAAGAAAGGTGATAGGTGTTGAAAGAGTGAGATTCTTTCATGAAAAAGTCATTTCCTCATCTCAACCAACATGAAATAAAACTTTTGTTACTGGTGCACTGAATGGCTCTCCACACTTTGCTCTGTAATACCCCACCCATGCTCTGAACACACTTTTCAAAGAGTTCTTGGCAAGGATTTTCTTCTTATTCATCTTTGATTGTTGGTCAATGCTGATATCTCACTTTTGAACAAACAGTCCAAGGTTCCTTTAACAGAACTACAAGCTGAGCTCACCATTCCATTTATCTGAGGAAGGGCGGACTTGGTTTGGAAAAAGTGTTGAATGCACGTGTTAATGGCAACTGGTCTAATTAACATTCCTCAAGCAACATTACAATTGGAATCCTTTTTAAAATTAGGTTTGAAGGGTTGCATATGGAGAGTACACGAACATTGCCTATGTCTTTAAAAATGAATACAAAATGCATGTTTTAAAATGTATATAACATACAAAAATGCTAACAACATGTACATTAGATTAAACTAGGAGAAAGCATAACAACTATATAAATTGTCCTTCAGATTTCCTTGGTCCAATGCACATAAAAATAAGATAAAATATTTTTGTTTGAGGAGAAATGAATGCTGTTGAAAATAGAGCTCTAATTAGGAGGTGGAGGAAATGACAAGTGTTTAGATATAAACAAAAAATGGCACCACTTAATAGGAGAATTAGATTTATTTCTAAAATGAAAAGAGAGAGTTCAGTGTGTACTTCAGGGCTTTTTTATTAGCTAGTTAAAAACTGGCTGGATTTTATTAGAGGTTATTAGGTGATGTTTCAGGAGGTTGTATACAGAAAGAGTAAAATGTGAATATTCTAGACTAAATTAATCTCTTATAAGGACATATTTCCAGAATATCTTGATTTGCCCAGGGTAATATTTGCAAATCTCTGGGTATTTTTATTCAGTTAAAAACTGGCTACATTAATCACTGGCAATCAAGTTGATGGCAAAAAAGTAGCTTTAAGTAAATAGTACAAGTGATACTTAAACAGTAAGACCATCATGGAAACAAAGAGCAGAATAACAACTGATGGCAGGACTAGTATATACAGTGGTATCTGATTAATGAAGGAAGTAAACACAGATTAATTATGCCATTGGAAAACTATACAATCAGCCAAAGTCTGAACACTAGCAAATGGAATCAAGCAAACTGCAAATTAACCATTGGTGTGCAAAAGTTTAAGTATCTATATTTTTTTACAGCTATTGTCAACTGATTGTACCATAGGTTTATTATGCTAGTCTGTGTCATACAAAAACTTCTGGACCAATTTAATCCCCAACACTAGTATAAAATCATAGTATAAAAATTCCAGGAGATTCATAAATCTCACATTGTTCAATAGAGCCAATAGGATAGAGTAGTTAAGATACTGGACTATAACTTGGGCAGACCAAAGCTCAGATACTGGTGAGATTGGATGGCCATTCTTTCATGACACAACTTATTTCACAAGGTAGACTTCGTGGGAATAAAATGAAGCAACCTCTCCATCTAAATTGACTTGAGAAAAGGTGGATATAAACCAAATGAATGAGATATCTTTTACTTCATTCTACTAGATCTTATTGTTTCTTGTATATTGAAGATTAACACTTCTGAGATTTTGTTTTTAAAGGTCCTATATACAATAGAAAGCTGAAGTATTTTCAGGTCACAGTGAGTGAGAAATGAAATCCCTTGTGTGGCAATCCCTGTGTTAAAAAAAGTACAATTGTCTGCAAGTGGCAGAAAAGCTTTCACAGGTCTGGGGCCAGTAGTAACATGTCTGACAGCTCAAACTACCAGTTATAGGCAGCAGACAAGAAGACAAGAATAGGATGCCTTATTCTAGTTCCCTTACAACATGCTTTTTGGGAGAAAAAAATAAACACTTTCATAAGATGAGTACTACATTATTTCCACTAGATTTACTTTAAGTTGAGATGTTAATTCTTTGTGCTCAAGGACAGGAAAGACATCTATTACAAGTTTAGTCAGGCAAGCAAGCTCTTTTTTTTTTTTTACTACAGAAGGAGAAGCAGAATACTTAAACTTGTGATGATTGTGTTGTAAGGCATTTTTAATTGATTTTAGATGCTAGCAAATATTCCACAAGTATTTTATTTCAAAAACATCTAAGAGATGGGCACATTCTGTATCCTATTTATGACCAGAGACGCTAAGGAGATGGGCATTTTATTGAAGTTTTCCAAAGGACAATAAATTCTGCAAATGTTTTTTAGAAAGGAAATCTTTCTTTCTGTCCTAACATAACATTTAAATTTATTTGTTTTCTACTCTGTCTTGCTCAGCAAGGAAGCTGTCTTTAGATGACCTTAGGTGATCTCAGAAAGCTAAACAGGGCTGGACTTGGTTATTGTTTGAACAGATAAACGTCAAGACATATCAGTCCACATTAGGAAGTATATATAGTACTATTGGGAATATAGTATATACCATTACACTATTTGCTCTGCTGTGCTATGCTATGCTATGCTATGCTATGCTATGCTATGCTATGATATGCTATGCTATGCTATGCTATGCTATGCTAATAATACAAGGCTCAGCAGTTAAAGATGTTAAACTTTTATTTATTTATTTATTTATTTTTGTCAATTGTTTACAAGATAATAGGTATAAGTAAAAACATAGTTATGAATACATGGATACATACAAGAAAAATTAAAAAAGAAAAGAAAAGAAACAATAGGACAGGGATGGTAGGCATGTTGGTGTGCTTATGCATGCCCCCTACAGACCTCTTAGGAAAGGGGTGAGGTCAATACTAGACAGTCTAAGGTTAAAGTTTTTGGGGTTTGGGGGAAAAAACCACAGAGTCAGGTAGAGCATTCCAGACATTGACCACTCTGTTGCTGAAGTTGTATTTCCTGCAATCAAGTTTGGTGCAATTAACCTTGAGTTTGTATCTCTTGTTTGCTCTTGTGTTGTTATGGTTGAAGCTGAAGTATTCATTGACAGGTAGGACATTGCAATGTATGATTTTATATACTATACTTAGATCAGACCGAAGACGGCGTAATTCTAGGTTTTCTAGGTCTAGAATTTCGAGTCTGGTAGCATAAGGTATTCTGCAACGCGTAGAGGAGTGGAGAACTCTTCTTGTGAAATATCTCTGGACTTTCTCAACTGTGTTAATGTCAGATATGTAATGTGGGTTCCAGACTGATGAGCTGTATTCAAGTATTGGTCTAGCAAATCTTTTGTATGCTCTAGTTATTAGTGCATTATTACCAGAGAAAAAGCTACATAAGATTAGGTTAACAACTCTTAATGCCTCTTTGGCTATGTAGTTACTGTGAGCTCTAGCACTTACATCTTTAGAGATGATTACTCCAAGGTCCTTGACAGAGTTTGGATCATCAACAAGGTCTTGACTATTCAGCTTGTATTTTAGTTTCTGATTTTTTTTGCCAATATGTAGGAGAGAGCATTTATTTGTTGAGATTTGAAGTTGCCCTTTGTTTGACTATTCTGATACATAATCAAGGTCTTTTTAAAGGGTAGCAGTATTGTCTATGGTGTTGAATAGCTTTACATCATCAGCGAAGAGAATGCAGTTGCTCTTAATATGATCACAGAGGTCATTTATGTAGAGTATGGGTCCTAGAACACTGCCTTGGGGGACACCACTGTTGACAGGTACAAAATTTAATAGGACGCTCCCAATTTTGACCATTTGTTGTCTGTTTGAGAGGGATGCTTCTATCCAGTTATGCAGGTGTCCAGAGATACCATAAGATTTTAGTTTTAGGAGTAGTTTGTCATGTACCACTGAATCAAAGGCGTTACAGAAGTCTATATAGATTGCATCTATTGCTTTGTCCTGATCGAGTTGTATAGTCCATATGTTTTTTCAGTGTAAGAGTTGCAGATTACATGATAGTTTTTTCCTGAAACCAAATTGTTTATTAGAGAGTAGTTTGTTTGTTTCTAAGTGGAGGATGATGGAT